CTTTTTGGTCTCTTAGTTCCATGGTGAGGTTATGAGTACGACCTGGCGTGAGAATTATTCCCTCCCGCGGATTTTCAAGGGACGTCGAGAGCGCACCGGACCCGACAGAAGTGTCGGGCTCTTCCGACCATTAAACCCTATCTCCAGACAAACTGTTTTCAGGGTGATAGATCGTTAAGAAGAAAAGAGAACTCTGCCCGGGGCCCCGCCGTCGTCTCCACGTTCAGTTGCGTTGCCGCGCAAAACCCACATCCAGGTGCCGGAATGTTAACCGGCTTCCCTTTCGCCACACGGGGCACAAGTGCCCATTTGAAACGGAACTTCCTCGGGATAAAGCAGCAACTCGAATACCTCACCTTTCAGCTGTAAGTTTACCCTTTTCCAACTTTCCTTACCTAACGTTTTCCTCTCTCATATCCTTCAAATCTCGCTTCCCTTTAGCGTTAGGTTAGACTGTCGGGTTCTTTCTCTTTCCGTTCGCGTGTCGTCGTCGTATCCTGTCGTCGCACTATCAAACTCTCCGAGTCTCCCGGCCGGTGAGTCCGTCCATCGGTGGGTAGCAATGGCCTTAGCTACAGGTACCGCTGGTTGCAATGCGTAGAATATTGCAACTGTAGCATCTCTCGGCAGACCCCGTAGACAGGGGGTTTTAAGCGAGGAGTTAGCTACCCTCTCTTCACTAAGCCTCAGTGCCTAGCAGCGGTCTTTCAGGGTTTTGTTCATGTGCATGTGACGAAGTGAAGTTGCAACCACCACCAACTCACCAACTCACCGAGAATTAGGTACATTCCGAGACCGCTCGGACCGCCCGGACCCGAGACGGGAGATGCACAGGAAGCATATTCCGGACTCGCTTAAGGAATTGGCAATGTTACCCTTCGTATAGATGGTGCGATACACCATCATCATGTAAGCTGTAGGTAATGAGCTGGGTTGGTGCGCAAAAATGACCATCTGATACTATCTTATTTCTGTTTTACTTGCCTACAGACATTACAGTCAACTGGCAGCAGGCATTTCTTTATTCTTCAGCCGGTTACTTCCCTCGGTTTGTGGGGCGCATCGGGCAGCAAACTTGCTGTCTTGACAGTCTTGGTCAGGTCAGCACTCAGCAGTCATCGAAACCCGGGAAGGACCTCTCCCACATCCCGACCTGTGCCTGTTGTCATCTCTCACTGCAGAAGACATGTGAATGAAGATTATGGGGTACTACATTGGGTAGACTACCCCACGCTTCCACTTGTCTGATCTCGCACAAACCTCGGGTGCTGTAACTCCAGCCTAAGAAGACTTGTTCCATATCGTTGGTTCCGTTGGGAAAAAGTCCTGGTTCTGTTTGCTGAGGTGAGCCCATGGATCCAGGAACAGCCAGGTCAATGATGTTGAAGGGAAAAGAACATTGCGCCATGTTGTAAGACTCCAATCACTCCATGTCTATGGCGGCTCTCGGTTTGGACCTTGAATTTGAGTCAACCCCTAGCATGCCGTTGCTTTTCGGCTTTCGGCCCGGATTATCAGCCCCGAATCGATATTCTTGTCTTGTGGCTTTGAGGCTTGAGGCCTTGAGGAGTTTGTTCAGAACTCTGGAGTTTGGTTGAGGCGTTGGTGATATCGTTGTTGGCGTTCTCAAACTATAGGAGCCAGGCCAGGCAGGCGTTATTGAAACAACATAGGGCTCCCTCAACAAGATATGGTCCCAAAAGGGCACATTTCCAGGCAATATTCCACTATTTAGGTTGGGTCATGTTAAGACTTACATACCTTGGTCTGTGCAGTGCCGCAGACTACGTCCACATGGAAGTATAGAACTAATCGAACCGCAATTCAGTGATGCAACGCAGCGCCTCAACGTCGAATCCCTCCAGGTTAGTTCAGTCAGCAGTGTACCAAAGTCTTGACAGGCATGGCCCTGGGAGGGTTGTCAGATCTTGGGTGCCTCCCTATTGGGTCGCGACCCCCTTGTCGGTCCCCAAAATGTCTTGAATGTACGAGCTGTGCCGGAGACGTACTTCCCAAGCGCTACGTTGCTTCGTACAAGCTTCAACCCACAAGCAAGGTCACGGGTAGACAATGCCTTACCGTACCAAATTCCTTCATCTCGGCATCTCGGTGTGTCCGTTGAACCATGACATAGTAAGGTAGGTATGTATGACTTACATTGCGTTGCCAAGACTAGGTGTAGACATTAGTCCCAACAAAATTGCCCAAAGCACGATCCCGTGAAGGCTTTCAACGACTTTCTGAAGGCCAGGATAGCCTGAGTGGGTGCCTTTCCACGCCGTTCTATATCGCCAACACCAGAAAGACGTAAGCATGACTTGCTTGAGACCATTTCCAGAAGCCTTCGGCGTTTCAAAGACGAAAACGCCCGGTGTAGCCGCTGTCACAAGTCCAATATTTGCTACACAGCCACCTGTTCGTTCCTGGAAATATCCCGAAAGCTAGACCTTACCTAATGTTTGAAAAAGGGACAGCAGGGAAGGCGGCTTTTGCGGCTGACCTTGATGGTCTGGAGACTATTGTCTGCTGCCAAGCGGCTCAACTCAACTCAAGGGGTAGGCACGGAGAACATCACGGCAATGCATGGCACTGTGCCTGAGTAGAAACACTTCCAATATCAGCGTCGAATTTGCCTCACCATTCAGTTGCTGGATTCGGGGTTGTACCATTCATCTTCGTGGCCATTAGTTACAAAAGGACAAGTGTCCGATCCCTTACGGGGAGGCCCCTTAGTCTAGATTCTTTCCCCATCGCCGGGTAACGAATTTCTTGGTCAACATGGCGGAATAGCCAGTCTGTTCCCGACCTGTTTAGGATCATTTGGAAAGAAGATAGCGATCTGTTCTCTCTTCAGCTCTCAAAAATAGTTATTACGATGCAAATATCATTTCGATCCGAGCATTTGGTTACCACGTCCTGTCGTATAACCACATTCAACATCCGTCTCACATGCTATTCCGTCATTGCCAGTTTTCCACCACTCGTCCGTCAGACAGAACCGAGTCCTGGGTTCCACGACTCAATCGTAAGTTCCGAGAATGTGCCACCTGGTAAGCCTGTTCTTCCCTCTAGGCTCTGGGGTCTTGCCATGGGGAAGCATCTGTCGTTCGCCCAACAATTCATATCCGCACCTTGTGACCTGCCAACCAAGAGTGTAACTGTCGTCTGACTCTATTGATTGGAGGTTATCCTGGGCCAAAGGGCAAGTACACGGTCTTCGCACCTTCTGGTCAGTGAGATCCTGACGCAGGTACCTCCCAGTCCTTACCTCCGAATCGTTACACGACTTTAAGTCCATCAGCTCCTTCCACTTCCCATCTCTATGTAGACTGTACTCCCACATACACCCGCATCCACATCCACACGCCCTTTCCATACAGGTAGGATGTACTTGACCGATAAACGGAAGGCAAAAAGTGTCATGAACATTGGAGGCAACCACGCATCATCCATCCACATGAGCCTTCCCGACGCCCACCCGCCCGTTTGAGGGGAGCGCCAGCTCCCACAACGGGACCTATCATGTGCACACTGCACCCGAATGGTTGACACCATCAGCCACATGGAAAGAGTTGAAGTTCTAAACTTGCTTCATTGAATTCCGATTCCCCAGAAATATTCCGAGTCCCAAAATCCAAAGACCACCACTCGTGGGTCATGCCACCGCACGCCAGGTCAAGCCACTTGGGGCTGGCTACCTCGCTTGTTCTCGCAACAATCCACACCGATAATAATGACAACAAATACAACTCTGATGACAACCCATCGTTGCTGAAGAAACAATAAAAGTCAATAGTCTAGTCTAGGCGTTCAACATATTGGGATAAGAAACCGACTGAAGCTGTATCCTGATCCGCCTGCACCGGCTCCAGGACGCATGACGCGGTAGTTTTCGCGGAATAGACCTGTTGAAGTGAGGTTAGTGAAACTTCATTCTGTTCACCCTGGACGATGGACGGTATCCGCGGACATCGAACCGTTCGGCCTTCCCGGCGATAAGGCACCCCCGAAGATGAAAGATGTGTCATCTGGTCCAGGTGGTAGGTATGTAGTATTTGATGTGGTCAGCAGTCAGGGCCGTCCGTATCCGGACTTAATTATCTTTTCCTCCTTCTTTAACTCTAGTTCCCTTTGCAAGTCGTCGACGGCACGGCTGCTGGTAATCGACTGAAATCTTCCAATGTTTTCCATTTCCGAAAGAATCGCCCCACTTAATCGGACAAGCGGTGAATCCGCCCCTCCTCTCCCCCGGGCCGGCCGCACACGGGGGGGAGGGGGCGAGGCTCGGAAGTACCAAGTAGGAAACACCACCGGAAAAAGCTTCTGAAGAAGGAACAAAGGAGTAAACTTGGATAGTCATCACGGGTTGTGTTGTCATTAATATTGATGCCAAGTTCGCTTAGGTATCTCTAGGTACTCACTTACACTACCGTATAAACTGGGTATAATCAACATCAAACCACATGTTAGGGCCAAGACGGAGCATGCCTGCTACCAACACGGTGTGATACCGGAAGCGCGATCGTCAACGAGCAGTAAAAAGATGAACTAAGCGAGACACACCGATGTTACACATCCGGTACGCTATGGCCGCGTGTCTGACCACTGTCCAGGTCCTCCGGATGCCCGTAGCTATTCAAGTTCGTCACCTAGTATGGAGATGCCTCCCAGGATTAGTAAGGAACGCCGAACAAACGGAAGCCGCCGCGGCCATTTCATAATATGCACATGGCTGTATACTGGTTCAGAAGCAACCTTGAAATTGCTCGCCAGGTTGCCCAAAGAAAGCAGGCACATTCAGCCCCGGGCCCGACCGGGCTCCACTTCCCGTCCTCCGGATGCTTGCCCCACAAAACCGGGAAGGCCCGATGTGGATACTGATGGCCGCGGTCCACCCAGGACCCTGGACGAGGCCTTGCACGAAAAAATAAAAAATTCTTCCCCACCACCCACCACGTTCATAACCCACCCACACAACTCCAAATCTTCATCAATCAAAAGGCAAGATGGCCGAGCGGTCTAAGGCGCCACGTTAAGGTTACCAAAACCCTTAATCTCCTCTCCAGAGTTCCGTGGTCCGAAAGGGCGTGGGTTCGAATCCCACTCTTGTCATCATCATCATCATCCGAGTTCAGGTTGGTGGTTTTTCTTTTTTTCCTTCTTTAATCCTTTTGATTTCATCGGGTTCGTTTTTGTAGTATTAAGCACCAAACATCTACAAGCATTGCAATGTCCAATCCGGGGCTGATACCGAACACACAAAGAACTCCAAACACCACGCTACCTACAAGCAAGCATGAAACAAATAGAACCACACCGCCATAAAAGACCATCCAAACCAACACTACTCGACAACGCTCGACATGCCCATCTTCTTCATCGTCAACACACTGCCGCTACTCGCAGTTCGTCTATGTGCCCGATGTCCCTGCCCGTGTCCCTGCGCCAACGCCTCCGCCATCCCCCCTCCAGCGCTACTCGGCGTAGTAACAGGCGACACCCTCACCGTCAGCCCGCTTCCACTTCCTGTCCCACTTCCTGTCCCATTCCCATTCCCATCCCCCACCACACTTCCACTTCTACTTCCACTTCCACTTCCACTTCCACTAGCACCCCCATTAGTAGTACTACCAAAAAACCACCGTCCACCACCATACTTCCCCGGACTAACGGCCGTCGACGGACTAACCAAGTCATCCGCCTCCCCGCTTTCCATATCCATATCCCTTCTCCTCCACGATCCGTTGGCAGCAGCCGTGTCAATCACCGCTGGGACGTTTCCGTTGCCGTTTCCATTTCCATTTCCATTTCCATGATGACCACCCTGACCCTGACCCTGACTCATCCTCAAAGCAGGAGGAGTAGTAGCAGTAGTAGTAGTAGCAGTAGTAATAACCTGATCATCATACCCACCATACCCCCCATACTGCCCACCAGCAGCAGGCCGTATCCCCTCCTGCTCACCACTATACCTACTACTACTCCTTGCACTGCCGCTGCCGCTGCCGCCGCCGCCCCCGTCACCGTCCGTCATGCTCGTAGTCGTCGACGTGGACGAGCCAATGGTATGTTCCGTTCCTCTTCTTGAGGAAGAGTTCACTCCTGATGGGAAAAGGTCGACTGCTGCGCCCGGTAGTAATTGTAAACGCCAGGAGGGGTCCGAGTCAGAGGGGAGTATATTCAACTCCGAGTCGGCTGCGTCCTTCTCTACGGGACTGAGATCGTGGATCGGGGTGAGGCCGTTGACGAGCATGTCGAAAGCTGGTTGGCCTGGGTGTACTTGGGAAGAAGACTGTTGCTGTTGTCGCTGCTGCTCCTGCTGTTGTTGCTGTTGTTGCTGTTGCTGGCGACCAGGAACGTCCAGGCGGGCATTGATATTGGAACTAACGACGTTTGGGGAAAAGGGAGAGACGAGCTCGGCGACCATGGCGGACGCGATGCCGATGGCCATGGTGGTGGATTGGCCGGAATTCGATGATGAGATTTTGGCGGACGACGATTCCGAGCCCGAGCGGCCAACCGTGGAGGCGAATCGGCGGAACGTTCCCTTGACGCTGGCTACCGCAAGGTTGATGCTGGGCTTTCTGCGGACGGCGGCTTGGATCGGAGCAAGACGGGTACTGTCGTTTGATGTAGCCTTGTTGTCGACGGCAGTGTCTTTGCCCTTCTCCTTGTCCTTGCCCTTGGGCAAAGGTGATGATGATGACGAAGAGCCGGCGCCATTGGATTTGTTCTTCATCTTGACTGCTATCAGCTCGAATTGCTTGACCATTGTGGGGTTCTCCACGATCTCCTCCATCGTTACCGAGACGCTGGCATCGACACCGGGGATGCCGGCCTTGGGCAGTTCGCGGTTCAGCTGCGTTGTTAGTTGGGCAGCTGGGATTAGGCTACCCCATAGATCAAAAAAGGCAGCAATGTGCACCTGCGCCTCAGGGACGCCCAGAGCCCGGGGGTTGATGACATGAGTCCACGCTTTAGAGACGACAGTCTGAATGCCCTTTTCTTGATCCTTTGTCAACGCCTTGACAGTATCTGACCGACCGGCGTTGGTATGCGCCGTGCATGCGTCCAACAAGTCTCTAAGCGGAAGTGGTATCCTCTTCTCCATGGCCTTATATTGGTAGCCGGATGGAATCAGCGGCTGCATGATGTTGACGCTGGTGAGGAGGTTGATGGTGGCGCAGACCATGCGCAGAGCGTCATCGGCGAAAGTCTCGGGGACGCGATCGGCACAGAACGTAACGGACAACTCGACCCGATTGTTTCCACGTGCAATTGATCTAATGAACAAATCAGGAACATCCTGCGCTCTGGATTCGACAACGGTAAACTTGCACGTGGCGGTACCGAGATGGAACGACTTGGGTTCCGCGGGGACAATGGCCGTATCTTCGTATTGGTGCTGGATCAGAGTGCTGAAGCGAGTCCAGTACGGCCACGGTGTGCACTTCTCCACTATATTCAGTGTCCCCAGATTCTCGAACGGTATGCTGGAGATCCGCTGGGTCTGGACGTGCTGGAGCAGGCCCAACGGTGTAAGTGGCGTGTCGGGGACTGTACCCGGACGGGTATCTGATTGATTGTCGGCCCCATGACCCCCATGACCGACTGGTTGTGAGAGAGTGTGACATGTCGACCGTCAACAAGCTCGCCGAAGACCACGTCGGAAGAAGCTGAGAGACTAGCAAGAACCATTGCCCATGCGCTTTTCAGGATGGTCTCGTAAGAAATCCCAAGGCTGGACAAGGAACCAAGTGGCATCACATGGCGTAGCGTCTTGGTGTTGGCCGACACCCGGTATGGCAATGAATGCTCGACCACCTGGGTAACTGTGCTGCCTTCAAGCAGTTTCTTCCAATACTCCTCGGCCCCTTGTGAGTTAGCCAGCTGAACGGACCGGACAAACTCGCAGTAGGTCGGACGACGAGGTGGATTCTCTGTCCCGTCGTACAGTCTCTTGAGATCCTTGACAAACAGCGCCATTGAGAGGTCGTCATATTGGGCTTTGGACAGTCGAAGAATAAGTATCGATTGCTTCCCTCCATCAATGAATATGAACTTGGTCATAGGAGAGCAGAAGGCCACAGGCGAGGCTTGGTCCTTCCGGATTGACTTCTCCATGACGGCGTTCAACCTCCAAGTGGGGCAGGTGTGCCTCTTGAACTCGACATCAGCTGACTTGATCACGGCTTGGTACACCTTTCGGTTGTGCGGAACAAGGGCGGTACGAAGGATAGGATGAATGGTAACGAGTGTCAAGCATGCATCTTCCAGCTTTTTGGCATCGACGGCGCCAGTGAACATGAACGTGAAATAGTTGATGTTTGCACGACCGCGGAGCATCCCGGTTTCCATATGTCGGATTTGTGTCGAGGTTGCTTCGGCGGCGTCTTTGATGCCGTGGGCATCGACACCAACCTTTGGTGCAATGACTTTCTCCAGGAGAACTTGCTTGACCGCATTCGGATCAGATGCAGTGGGCGAAGGGTTAATAATTGGCAGAGAAACTGGGCTGTCAGCTTGCAGGGGCTCGACCGAGCACATGGTCCTGCACAGCTCGGTGAGTGTGACATTTTGGAGGACATCGGCGATGTTGATTGATATGCCTTCGTGCCGACAGGCGGTAACCAGTTGAGCAGCAAGCACGTGGTCACCTCCAACACCAAAGAAGCCGTCGCAAGCACGGATGCGTGCTTCCTCTATCCCTAGGACCTTTGCCCAGATCGCCCTCATTCGCTCCTCGCTGTCTGTCAGCGGAAGAGGTTTAAAGGACTGGAGCTTCGCGTCGTCAGCTGTCGAGGCAGCACACAGTGCGATGAGCTTCTCTTTGGATAGCCCACTGATCATCTTCTGGAGACGACGTTTGTTGACCTTGAGTGAAGGGGTGATTGGAAGATGCTTCACCGGAATGAAGATTGACGGGATTCCGGACGGAGCAGCATTGCTTCGCAACCCAATCTCGACAAGCTGCCTAGCAATGAACAGTTGCTCCTTTGCCGTGGCACCCAATGAGGCCAGGTCGTCTTCGCCATCAAGGATACTATCCCCAAACTCGATGAAGGCGCCCAATACTGGTGTGTCATCCGTGGTTCGGTAGGGCAGTTTGTCTACCAGGACATCAACTCCCTGTCCAAGGCACCGTCGAAGATACTGCTCTATCTGCGCCGTGTCTACTGGCCTTCCCTTGCTGCCAGTATCCTCGTGTTTCTGAGAGATGAACTCCATCAACCCGCCGTCAGTATACCTAACACGGTGTCCAGTTTTGAAGTACCGTGATGTGTTACCCGCAGACGGTCCAAGTGGTGACATAGGGCCCAAGGTAGACTCCCTGTTAGGGTAATGACAACCCAAGGTTGGCCCCTCTACTACCAGCTCTCCGACGGCACCGACAGGGACCAGATTCTTGCGGTCGTCAGGATTTACGACCATGAAGCTGCCGCAAAACGGGCGCCCGACACTGCGAAGCTGATTTGCCCCAACGACCTCGAGGAAAGATATACCCAGAGGACAGACATCGTGTGGTCCATAGGCTAAGATGATGTTGGCTTTGCCGTGCCATGCGCTGTATGTATCTTCGTCCAAGCTCCGGGTTCTGAAGCAGACCGCCTTCAACGTCGGCACCCTTGTCGGATCGACTTTACGGGATAGGTGTGGCGTCATGTAAGTCCAGTTGACCTGCATACGGTTGACAGCGCCTGCAAAATCCTTGAGCCGCTCGTTCACGGCAGGCACACACACACATCCTCCATAAGCGAGTGTGGTGAGAATCTCCGAAACGCAAATGTCAACGTTAAAAGAAGAGAGCTGCATGACGCGACTCAAGGGTCCAATCTTCGCTGCAGGGCCCTGGCCAAGAAGTGCTGTCGATAACGCGGTGTGGCTGAAGGAGACTCCGCGAGCCTCGCCTGAGGATACGCGAGAAAAAGTATACAGGCTGGATCGGAAGGCGTAGCCATTGAGGTGAGCGATCTTCGATCTCGGGGGAGGCTGAACATCAGGTCGTCGTTCAAGGTTACAACATCATCGAAGAGGTTCCCGAGAACCAGAGCGGCGCGCTCCGAAGCGACTGCGACCCTCGAGAAGTTGAGCCGTTCAAAGATGGGTTGGATCAAGCCTAACTCCAAGGCATCGATGGGGACAAACGCACCACCAGCTCTGGAAGCACATAGGTTAGCAAACGAAGAGGACGAAGGTGGGGAGAGCTTACTTGAGCACGGCAAGGATCGCCACAATGGCAAGGCGACTTTTCTCCATGACTACAGGCACAACCGAGTGTGGTCCGACTCCTACATCCACAAGATGATGGGCCAAGACTGTTGCCTCTTCATCCAACTTCTGGTACGTAAAAGTACCATCCCATGCGCAGACGGCTTGCGAGTTTGGCTGGGCGCGAGCCTGCTTGCTTACAAGTTCATGCACAACACTCTCGACCCGTGTGTTATCACCAGATGGCGAATCAGCGCCCCAGGCTAACAGTTGGGCATAATCACGATCGCTGAACAGGTCGACTGTTCCGATAGAACTGTGTGGCGCGGAAAGAATGGTGCGAATCGCCTTTCCAAAGGTATTGGCCACGTTGAGGGCCTGCTCTTCGGACATGACCCGTTGTCCAATGTCGACCACCAGCTTACCCCCAGCAAACCGCGTATTGACCAGTACATCCACGTCGGATGTCTGCTTCAGCGAGAGCGGCTTGAGCTCAAAGCTTGTCCTTGTTGTGAACTTGCTGTTCAGCCCTGCAGGCTCTTCAGTGAATGTTAGGCATGAGTTAAACAGATGCTCGCCACCCTTCATGCCCATAGCATGTTCCAGCTCGGCCATGGTAAAGTGTTGGTGCGGTAAGCTAGCTGTAAGTTGATCTTCGATCACCTCCAGCGCCATCTTGAGAGGGGTGTACGACGTTAGTTCGTAGTTGCATGCCACCATATTGGCGAACGAGCCTACGGCATTCTGTAGCTCGGGAACGGTGTCATCGCGGCCGCTTGTTTGGTAGCCAAAGCACACAGCATTCGACCCAGTGAAGCATCGCAGCACAAGACTCCACGCCAGGCGGACAATCGCATCGACGGTGGTGGCGTGGGATCTCGTGAATCCGGAAAGCTCGTAGGATGTGATCTCCAGGTTTAGAAACGAGTTGACGAAGCGTTGCTCGTCAGGCGACACAGTAAGTCGAGGGAACATGCATGGTGCAACGTCCGCAAGCCTCTCCCGCCAGTACCCAACGCTGGATCCACGACGTATTCCGCTCAAAAACTGCATATAATGAGGGTACCCAAAGTGGGCAGGTTCGGGAATGGCTTTTTCAGTCACGTAGGCTCTTCGAAGATCGTGTAAAATGAGATGGATGCTGACAGACTACAATTCGTAAGCATTTGGAGTCGCATAACAGGACAATGGGAGCAAACTTACGTCACAGAGCGCTGTGCTGATATCCAGCTTGATGAACGTCCTAGTCGGAGCTCTGCAAACTGTCAAGCGGTGGAGCGGCTTATTATCCATCGGTCTAAGGTCAGGGAGGTTGTCGAGCTCGTACACCGGGTCCTCGGCAGGGGCTGTGTCGATAAAGAGCATATCCGGGGATGCCCGACGAAGAATCACCATATCCCACAATCCAGTCTCGCTGACGCTCTCGGTAAAGATGGTCCTTAGGGCTGGATGCCGGATGCACACATGCTGCCAAGCGTTGCATAGCCTGGCAATATCGATAGAATCGCCATGTGGTGATGCGAACTCGTAGATGGCATGAAGATAGCACGTATCTGGTCGCTGAGCTTGACTGATCAAGATGGCCTGGTGTACGGCAGTCACCGGGTAGATAGTTTCGACGTCTTGCACGCTTGCCAGCTTCAAGCCTGCTACCCGGTGTTTGTTAAATCGCGTCAAACCTTCATATGTGACATCGAGATGCGGAACGTCGGCAAGCGTTAGCTCATGAGGGTGATATCTCAGCCTGCCAATCGCCTCGAGAAGCAGGTGCTCATAGTTATGGGCCCACTGTGCAATGCGAGTCTGGTCTTTGCAGAACTTGCTATATGTGAACGACACCTTGGCGATACCTTTGTCCAACATGGCACTGATTTCGAACAAAGCCACGCGGCCCACTTTCGACCCAATATCCGAAGTTGGGGAGTCGAATGATCGGCTTACAAGAGGTAACTGCTCCATCACGCCGTTGGTGCGCTCTAGCTGTTGCAGCGAGCCCGCGTAGGTGAACATGACCTCGAACGGCCAGTCCGGGCGCAAGGTGTCGGGCCCAGCGTTGTTGTAGAACCGTGACGCGAAATATTTGGATCCATGAGCTGGTATTGACCGCCGCGTGTCTTTGAGATGCCGGAGAACTTCGATGAAGTCGTCTATACCGTCTACCTTTTGGGCTATCGGGCACAGAGCTGTAAACCATCCTACTGTCTCGGAAATGTCAATATCAGACCTCCACATGTCCCTACCGTGCTCTTGATTCCAAACCACTGGCACAGACCGATCGGGGAATGTTTGTGCAAACGACAACATAAGCGCAGCGAGGTAGATGTCGACGGTGTCAGTCTTGAATACTTGATTGCAAGAGCTTTGCAGGATTGACGTCAGCTCCGAGCTGAGAGCGAAGCTAATGTCTTTGGTGTCGCCGTACGCATTGGGGATTTCTCGCAGACCCCAAAAGGTATAATCTCCAGGTTGAACCTGGAAGGGCACGAATTCTTTTGGGTCTCTCCCGTGGACATCGGACTTTTGTAGCTCGACCCATTTGTGGAAGGGCATCGACCGCTGGGATAGGAAACTTCCCGAATCCAAAAGCTCGTCAAGATCATGAATGATGATGCGCCATGATGGTAGGTCGACAGCAAGATGGTGAGCGGCAAGATAGATTAATTGCTGCCCATCGTGGGTTGTGAAGTAGTCGGCAGCGAACACTGGTCCCCTCTCGATGTCGATAGAGAGCTGGGTTTGGCCGATAATGGTGTCAAGTTCGCGATCAGAGGATATCGAGTGGCGGCGGAGGTTGTAGGATCCTGCCACATCAGGCAAAATAAGCTGCATCCAACCCCCAGGTCCCCGATTGTAGCGCGATCGAAGCATTGGATGGTGGGCGACAACAGCTTCCAGAGCGGCCGCGACGTCCTCAAAACAGGCGTCCTTCTTGAATCGGAGAAAAAGACTGAGGTTGAAGCGGTAACTCCCATCGCCGGCAGATCTACGGTTCAGGTCTCCTCCCATAGAAGATTCGAAGTACAGATGCTGCATCGGAGACAGGTCGAAGTAGTCGCGAGTTTCTTCCTCCCATTGGTTCTCCTGGATACCTCTGGATTCGGCAATGGCGGCCAGTTCCGAAAGGGTATTTGATCCAAGCACCTCCAAGGGATTGATGTAGATTGTTTCGTTCTTGCAGCGGGAAACTAGTTCCATGGCAGTCGTCTCATCACCGCCTAGCTGGCAGAAGGAAAGGTTGACGCCGATCTGAACTTGGGAGAGAGCCAGCACTTTGCTTACCAGCCTCTGTAACGAGCGTTCCATGGTCGTTTTCGGCTCCTCCAAGGGCACCTGGGATTGAAGATTGGACACCTGATAGTAGAGCTGTTGGTTCATGTTCTGAACCCAAGTTCGCAATCGTCGGGTATCTACATGGCCGGATTCCGTGAGGGGCATGCTTTCCAAGACGATCCAGATATCGGGTAAACTGGTGGACGGCAGAAGGGACTTGGCGACCTCGCGGAGAAAAGTGACCTGGGTGCCGGCGAAGATGGAGTTGGACTGGGATATCAGGCTAACATCGGATGAACTGGCTCGGGATGACTGCGTGGTGGAGAGCGTGAACAGGGCAACGAGTTTCCCTTCGAGTATTCCAGCCTTTGGTCGCACTGTTGCTATCCTTGATATTTCCTTTTGATTCCCCAATGCCTTTTCGATTTCTGTCGTATGTAGAGCTTGCGAGCCGGAGCTGGCCTGGCTCGAAGTGCGCGAGTGTTTTGTCGCAATCGCATTCGCATCGCGGGTGACGGACAGGCGCGCAGGCCTATGTATCTCGAGGGGTTCGACGGGGACCATGATAGCTTCGATGTTGTTGGGCGGGTTGCGGATATTGGGGTATTCGTACTTGGGTATGATACAAGTCTGGAGTTCGGCGAGAGTCGGGCAGCGAAGGATATCGGAAACTTTAATGTCGATGCCAGCCTCCAACAATTCCGCCTTCAAGGCCACGGCGGACCTGTCGTCACCGCCCAAATCCCTGAAGGATTCATGGAGCTGGATGTTTTCTCTGGGGATGTCGAGGACCTGCGCAATGACTGACAATAGCCTGTTGTTGGCCGCTTCCTCCTCGGTTTGTGCCCAGGTCGAAGTCGTGTCTATGCGCGGGATGGGGACCTTTTGCGTCGAAGGGTCTTGCATGGCGAGAGGGGAAGAAGGAAGGAGATATTAAACTAAGAGTACAACAAGGGGGAGGGGTATCATGAATGAGGAATAACGGAACCTCAACAACAACGAAATGGAGGATAGTAGAAGGTAAGGTAAGGTAACAGTACCCCGGGTACCATTAGCACTTGTTTTGCTAAGGAAACGAAAGACGAGCGCGAAGAAGTCGAAGTGCTGTTGGTTGTTTGGAGAAGATGGGAGAGGTCGAGAAATGATGTCAGGCGCTAGTCGGCATCGCTCAGTATTGGCTGTTGATTCGTCCACAAAGGCAAGGCTTCAAGGCTTTTGGGTGACGCGAGATCATTCCACTTGGTGATATTAAATTGTCCGATGTCGTCGACGTGAAACAGGAGTGTGTTGTCGGGAGCAAACACGACATGGCCCGGCAAAAGGGAAGAAGCGAGGAAGATGGGATGACAGAGGAGAGAGAGTCTTGGAGAAACCTAAGAGAGAGGGGGGGGGATCGACGCCAACATGTAGCACTCGAACAATCAATCAACCACAGCCGCAGGGTTGCAGGCAGACAAATCCATGCCTAGCATGCCATTGCTGTAATGGTCCACGATACTCCACGATACTCGGGGACGGTGGGAATCACAAGGAGGCGCAACAGGAGCCCAAAGTGGTGGGTGATTGGTGTTTGTGACGTTGGTGGAGGTGTCGAGGGTGTCGAAGGTTTCGAGTCCTGACGGGAGGCTTGACGGACAGTTTGAAAGAGTCGGGGGTCGGGGGTCCATCGGCAATCGGGAGACGAACCGGTGCGTGTCAAAGTGTGGGTTGGATGGTGAAGAAAGCGTGACATGGAGAATTGTTAGTGCAACTCCCAGGGGCAGCCAATGAGGTTACACAGACAGCTGACCTCGGATCCGCTTTGCCGTGCTCACAGCTGGGACCCTGTGCCGATCAACTGGCAGCGCCCTAAGCTAGACCAGAGAGGGGCAAGATCAATGGCTTTTTTATTTCAGCGAGATGCCCCGCCAATCTTACAGTGAACAAACAACTGTAACTTGATTTTTACTTGGCAATGTCAATCCATCCCCAAAGCAACACCATCCAAGACAATCACCAAGTCATGGCCCTCCCTATGATGAACAATCATTTGGTTTATATCGACTAGGTACCCCAAGAAACCGGTGATGCTTTGCCCTGTAAGCACGTTCTTGTAAGTCCGCGGGCGGCACCTGAGCGGGCCAATATGGAATCGGGCAGAAGAGAGAGCGAGCCGGGGCTTGAATGGGCCATGTTTCCATTCCCACTTGAAATAACACGAAAGAGAACGTCCTTGGAAAAATATCCAGTATTGCAATACTGAACTACCATCAACATCACTTTGGCCAGTATCAGACATGCAGGGAGGCTGAGCAGCTCACTGCCTATGTACTCATCCATTACCGCAGCACACACACACGGCTGATGGGCATCGTTCCAGCCTTATTTATATCACGGATGGTTGCATTCAATGACACTTCAAATAACCAACACTTGGGCCGGCTTCCAGTATTGCGGCAGTGTTGTCGTTCTAGCATCATAATCTTCCAGAGACGCCTCACTTTTCAGCAGTTCTACAGCTTGGAATTACCAGGGCATTATCAGCTCAAGGAAAGACATAGTGCAAAAGATTCACGGGTTGGGCATATTTCGAACCGTTGCTGACATTTTTCCATCAAGCCGTTGCACAAGAGCCACACTTCCTGCCGTCCAGCAATGTCTTGTACATCCATTCACATCCCGGGTCTCCCGGTGCCCTGTCTCCCATTCATATAGTCCTATAATCCTCGCTAAACCATCCGTCGGCGGCTTGTCGGCCCCGCCGCAGCTTATCAAGTTGGCACGGGATGCTGTGTGACTGAGCAAACACCACTCTATGGGCTCTCGGCCTTTGATCTTTCCGAAAAAGTCTGGTCAGCCTTGGTTCACCAACAACTACCACCACTGGCTTTGTCGAATCTGCCAGTTGGAAACTGTTGGTCCCGCGCTTGTTGGCCAACAAGAATGTCAGTCACGGCAACTAATGCAAGTAATATCGTCTCGCGTATTGGTGTCTCATTCCTCGCATCCCGTCATCACACCTACTCGGAGTTGTTTACCGATAGATACCCCTTGAAGGCTCCCATGTGCGACCCTGACCAAGTGGGCCTCTGCCTGGCTTTATCCGTCCCCGTCCTCAATTCCGTCCGATATCCAGGACATAGCACACTCCAACATCCTCATTGCTTAGCCATTGACTCACTGTCTCTCGCAAGACAAATCCTTGGGGCTCGGTCAAGCCACAGTCACACACGTTCAATTTCTCCTTGGTGCTATCAAGTGCCGACCAAGTGGCTGACAGACAGACGGCTTTGAGACAAATCAATCCAGCGTTAGCAAACGAGTGCCGATCCACGGCTCATCCCGCTCAGCACCGCTCTGGACCCCGGGTCAACGGAGCGTCGTGGGCTCGGAAGACACGCTCACCGTTCCGGGCACGGAGGAGAAGGAAAAGCAGGAAGCATCATCCCCGGCCGGGGAGTCCTTGTCCCCTGAAGCGCCGTAACCGAAGCGAGAAACAGACAGAGCTCCACTACCAAACGCCCCTGGACCCCTGAATGGACCCCTAAATTTGTCTCATGCATATCCATCCCCACTTCCACGCCGGTCGAGTCGGTCGAGTCCATCGCTTGCAGAGCAAAGAAAGGGACAGAAAGATGGAAGAACTTTCCACTTGCAAACGCACGTGTGCTTGAGGCAATATGATCCCATCCTAAAAACCGTTATTTCAACAATTTCCATTGGTCCGATGGTGTAGTTGGTTATCACGTCAGTCTAACACACTGAAGGTCCTGAGATCGAGCCTCAGTCGGATCACAAGAAAACTTTTTTTTTGGTCCGATTTCCTTTTTTTTTGCCGTCTTGCATCTTACATTGATTTTCCAAAACATATGAAAACGCCCACAACTGCAGACTGGTGATTTTTATGCCAGTTCAAGATGCATCATCATGTATGCACCCATGGATTTGCAGCCACCTCGGCTGATCAGTGGGAGGAATTTCTAAACCGGGCAACGAGCAATTTGATAGATCATCTCGTATTTAGCAAACGATTTCAATATTGACCGCTTCGTTCGTCTTCATTTCCACTTTTTGTTTTACCACTCCCACTCCTTGATGATAATCGATTAAGGAGCCATAGGTATTATCGCACAACATATTTAAAGTTTGATGCCCAGCTTTTCCACCTGATGGCAGACTGAACTCGGAGGTCTTCGAATTCCATGATTTTACATCCTCGTTTACTGCTAACGAAAAAAAACAAGATGCCTCTTCCACATCACCACCAAGATCGCAAAGATCCTTAACATTTCTCGAACGAACTACCTCATCATTCCAGCCATCGAATTACTATCGAACATCACAACCGCCGCTCCAAATTCTGGCAAAAGTTTTTGGTCGGATCATCCTTTACTGCCGCTGCCACCGTAACCGTAACACTTTTCCTCCTCGCGCTGCCCGACCGTCACCAGACTCGTGGTCAAAGTCAAAGCCAAAGCCACGTCTACAGGAGAAACCTAGTAGACCTAGCAGAACCCCCACCGCTCACCTTCTCCCCCAAGGACGGCACCTTTCAGATATCCGTCTTCGAGGACCTACACTTTGGCAAAAATGCCTGGGAAGAATGGGGTGCCTTCCAAGACTCTGCCACAGCGCGGGTGATGAACACCGTCCTTGACGCCGAAGCTTCCACCGACCTTGTCGTGCTGAACGGCGATTTGATTTCCGGAGAAAACACCTACCGGGAAAACAGCACCCGCTACGTCGACCAGATCGTGGAGCCCATGGTGCGGAGGGGAATGACCTGGGCGAGCACGTACGGGAATCATGATACGGACTTTAACCTGTCCAGGACGGCGCTGTGGGAGGAGGAGAGGAAGTGGTTGGGCAGTAGGACGGGGAGGATGGTTGATCATCCCGAGGCGGGTATCAGTAATTATTATCTGCCTGTTTATCCTGCGGAGTGCGGGGGCCGGAACATGAACCGACAACTACAAGACCAACAGGAATCATCACCGGCATGGTATCAACGGGCGTGAAACAACCTTAACTTGAACCTGAACCTCAACCCAATTTCGAACCCTCAACCATCGAGCGAGTGCGATACACCCTCCTTAATCCTCTGGTTCTTCGACTCCCGCGGCGGCCGCGCCTACCAATCCCACTACCCTGTCACGGGGCAACCTCTCGGCGAGCAAAACTGGGTCCACCACTCCGTAGTCGGCTGGTTCAAGACCACCAGGGCTTCCATCAACGCCCCCTCCCTCACTGCCAACGAAAAAGTGATCCTGTCCATAGGCTTCGTGCACATACCCACCGCCGCATCACTGGCTTTTCAACGATCGAAAGGGGGAGTAGACGCGAGTCGGCAGCCGGGGATTAATGATAATGTGCCGCTTTCGCCGCAGGGACAGGAGTGGTGTAAGGGTGCTAGTAGTGATGATGATGGGGAGGAACATAATGGAGAGGCAAAGGAGGTGGAGGAGAAGGAGGGTTGTGACTACGGCGACCAATACATCCCATTCATGCAAGCCATCGCTGCTGCTAGTCACGGAATGATGGCGCTGTTTTCGGGACACGATCATGGGAATAGTTGGTGTTATAAGTGGGATGGGAAAATTCCCGGTGCCCAGGTTAAACGGGACATGGACCAGGCTGTTATTACTGCCCCTGGGAACGAAGAACAACAACAAGAAGAAGAAGGAGAAGGGGAAGGAAATGGACAGGGACAAAAGAGGGGAGTCAACCTCTGCTTCGGCCAACGCACCGGCTACGGAGGTTACGGCAGCTGGATCCGCGGGTCGAGACAAATTGTCGTTCATCAAGAGGAGCTCGAGGAATTTGTTATCAGGACGCATATTCGGCTGGAGAACGGGGAGGTGGTAGGGGCGGTGACGCTGAATGGGACGTATGGGGAGGATAGGTATCCGGTTACGAGGAACGAGAGGACGCATTTGGTGGATTCGGCGTTGGAGGATTTTTAGGTACCGTACGGTAGGGACTAGGGAGGGGGCGTTCTCCTTCTGTATTGTCTTTTTGACTTTTTGAGTTGATTTTATTGGGGCTTTTTTTTGCAAATGTAAATGAGTGACTTAGCATTGCATACCTAATAGGTACCAAACTGGATTGTCCATCCATCAGGGACCTGGCTAGATCTGAATCTCGGGCTGACTTCCATCCATCCATGCAAAAAACCTCGTCATCATAACAGTGTCCTACACATGTCCTCAGCCCTCAGCCCTCAGCCCTCCAGCTATCTCCCCCGTCCTCCCCGTCCTTGTCCCTATCCTCGTCCTGCCCCTCCTCACTCCGAAGGCTTGTTATCAACCAACGTAACCTCAAAGCTACTATTCCCCGTCCTCTTCTGGCTCAACTGCTTCGGCCAATTCTCATTCTCCACCACATCCACCTCCTTCGTCTCCTCATTCCACTTGAAAAACACCGAGCCCGTAGCGATATACACCCCCGAGCGTTCATCCCTGACATACACCGCCGTCGTAACCGGCGGTCCTCCCGCGGGCAGAATGCCCACAAGGCCATACTGATCTTCTCCGGTGGTACTATAAAGCGTCACAGCGCCGACATCCCTTGCGTCAACCTTGAGACTATACTGCCTGTCCTCGCCGCCCGTGGCGTCCTTGAACAGGAAGGAAATGGCGCGCGTGTCATCGTCTACCACGCGGAAGCGGGATAAGCCGTCGATGGAGGAGATGTCGGACTGCGAGGAGGTCCATTCTTGGTAGATCCCGGACTCGTTGTAGTGCTGCCAGGCAATCACCTTGGTGGAGGCGCCGATGGCTACCGACAGGTACTTGTCGTTGAGAGAACCGGGCACGGAAACGTCTTGCCCGAGAGGGTAGACGTCGCCGGTGCCTTCGTAGTCTTTCTTTTGGTAGAAGACGGCGGTGGTGGGGTCGACTGAGGGAGCCATTTTTGGGGTTGGGTTGGTGGTTGGTGGTGGGTTTGGATAAGATGTGAGGGGTTTTGGTAAGTTGAGTGTCGAGTGTCAAGTGTCTTGTGTGTTCTTGGGCTGCTGTGTGTGATGAAGGTGAAGATGATGCTGAAGAAGAGGATCGAGGCTAGGAACGGGGAGGAGGAGGAGGAGATACTTATGGTTTTCGTCCGTTGAGAATCCCCAAGCTACCTAAGGTATCGGTCGAGACTGACAACCGGGCCATCCTCCGCGGTCATCGAAACTTGTGCCATGCTGTGTCCTACTCCCCAGTGCCCCTTGGCCTCCTCAACGATGACTGGTGTCTCACTCTTTCTCCCCCTCTCACACTCTTTCTCCCCTCTCACACTCTTTCTCCCTCCCTCTCACACATCACACAGCGAACTCTCCAAGACTTCCAAACATCACAGTCCGTTGGCATCTCGTATCCCTCGTACTCTAGATCCGGCAACTTGCATATTGACCGGCCATAAACGATGCGATGGCGAACGGATTCCCCTCCGTGGGGGGCGGTGGTAGAAGTGGGTGGAGGTGGTGTTCACGCCTAACCGAACATCACGGTGAACCACCATACTTTGTCGTCGTAGGACGTAAGTTTTGGCAGAGCCGCTTGTGTCCCCTCCCTCCCCCTACCCCCTCATCCCCCTAGATCGATTGGTCCTTGTTGCAAGGGAAACTTGCTCTGGCGAAGGATCTACAGAAATACAAACTACGTAAAATATTGGTGGAATGGTGCAATGGTGGTAGTCCTTCCTGTTTTGTGCTTTCGCAGCTGTAGTAGTTGACGGATGAGGACATGGCTCGGCGATACTACCTACCTAGAGGTAAGTTGCGTTGCGTAGGGGTTCTTCTCCTGAGTGCAAGACTCGATAATGGTCGATCGATCGGACTCGGAGTAAATTTCCTCGATTGCCTAGTGTACGGGTAGCAGATCCTCCCGTCGGGCCGCCAAACCCCGTCCCTTAGTCGTGTCGATCAGGTAGGCGCGGCCAAGGGCAGGATCGTGTCGTTCGTGGGGAGCGGGAGGCGCCTCGCCAAAGTACTGTGTAGAGGGTTGCTGCTTCTTTGCTCGCTAAACATGACACACATAGGCGCACAAAAGACGGGAGTGGCGACTGGCGAGGCGCCTACGCCTACTTGCAGAAGGAAGGAAGAAGGAACGTTGTGGAATGAGGGGGCGAGAGGGGTTCGTGAGTTTGAGGTTCGTGAAATGTGCAAGGGCCCGGCCCGAGGAAGGACAGCCTGAAAGAGAGAAATGATGGAATCACAACTTGACTGGATTGGGTTTCCCACAAAGTCATGGTGCAGACTGCTACTTACTAGAGTCCAATAGATGTTGGGAAGCATTCATCACAATAGTGACTTGTTGACCTGTAAACTATCGCATTCAGTTCCTGATGCCATCTGAGGTTCAGCCGCAACACACCCTCATCCGCACCCTGACCCTGACCGAGTAAGACATGCATGTGCAATTGCAACATCTTGCGTCGGCGTACTTACCTCACAGAAGGAGATCGGTATTAGGTAAATCGTACAACCGAAATGCACTTTGGGTGGCACAAGCGGTGGGGTTAAAATCATATGAAGGACAAGGGAAGGGACATCGGGTAACTTCGAGTTGCTTCCCCGTGGGGGCAGTGAGGGACGAACAGACATCGAGAAGTGAGAGGGGGCAGAAGAGGTGATGATGGCATGTCGACAGTGAGATTGCTGGAAGTGAACAAGTGCAAAGAATGACGACCATGGCTGTTAGAAAGGAGTGTCTAGTCAGTGCGTTAGCACGGCGTTGGATTTTGGGGCTCAAATGGCGGGCAAAAAGAGGGAAAAGAGGTCAACAACCCAAAATAGCCACTTCCACCCAATGACATATAGAACGTAGTATGACGAAAACCGGCACCCAAGTCTAAGTCGTCCAAAAATTGGGGTATCTATTGTGAATTCTGTTCATATCTACAAACCCTCTTTCGTTTCCCGTTCCGTTCCTTTCCTCTCTACTGTATCTCTTTATCATCTTTCTTTGCTTTCTAAAAAAAAGATCTCTCATCAGTCATCATCCATCAGGCAGCAACGTTATCATTTGATGGGTCTCACGGGAAGACAATGCAAAATGGTCGCCCGTCACCCAACCTCCCTGCTTTTGCTCAAGTAGGTGGGTGGGTAGTCCGTGAGGTGCCCGCCGAGAAGTCTCCTTTTTCCTTTTTTTGTTTGCTTCTTTGAGTCTCACCCAAGGGGCTGTGGTGCGTGCGTGCGTGTAGCAAAGGCCCGCCACCAAGACAACAACAAGGTGTTGTTCTTCGGGGCAACTGCTATAGTAGCTAGCACCACGGCCAGCCGTCCAAGAAATAGCTCCTCGGGTAGTGGTGGATATCAGCAAGGGTGCGCTTAGCAAGAACTTGGCTCTTTGCTCCAGTGAGAAGGGGCTCTCCCTGCCTGAGACGTCCTGCTCATAGCCGCTCTTATGCCAGGGGTATGCATCAGTTGGCAAAGATTCTGACGTTCAAGTCGACGCTTCCTGTCGCAATAACGCAGCGGATCTGGGAATCTGGGGTGACAGCCGCTCCCTTCTTTGGCGTGCCGTTTGGTTCCCCATTGTCTCCGTTCACTGACACATCCTTGATAACCGACGGGGCCCATCTGATGCACTGGACAAAGTGGCCATGCGCATCCCCGATCGTCTTGACGCATTTGCCTTCTTGTGTAAGATCCCAGCACCGAAGCGTCTTGTCGTCGGATACGGACAAGAGGTATTTCCCTCCAGGATGGAACACCAACCCTCGCACCCAGTTGTCGTGACCAGCCAAGGTTTTGATGCATGTCCCGCGCGCATCCCATAACCGGATCGACTTGTCTCGAGAGCCCGTGGCCATGAACTCGGCAGAGCTCGTCGCGGGCGGTTTCTTGATACCGGCCATGGCGGCAAGGTTCTGGTATGCGGCTGGAGGTGCAATGGCGCAACATAGGACGACATGTTCGTGGCCGATCAGGGTCACCCTCGGCTCCGGGTTTGTTACCGTCACATCCCACAGCCTGCTTGTGTAATCGTCGCTGGTGGAGAGTATATATTTCCCGTCGAACGATGGGCACACGTCGCGCACCCATTCGGCGTGGCCGCGCAATGTCTTGACGCAGTATCCTGTGCTAACGTCCCATATCCTTAGCGTCTTGTCGCGACTGGCGCTAACCAGGAGGTTGCCAGACCCAGGGATGAACCGTACGGCGCTAACGCTGTGATCGTGGCCAGGAAGAGTTCGAATGTTTTTATACGAATCTAGGGGGTCCCAAAGCTTGATGGTTAGATCTGAGCTGCATGAAGCTAGCAACGTGTTTCCGCGGGGGCCGCCATAGTCGACGTCGAGGACGGCTTTTGTGTGGCCCTTGATCGTCCTTTCCAGCTCGCCCAGTTCCCAATCCCAGATCTTGATGGTCTGATCCTCTGATCCGGAGGCTAGAGACGAGAAAACAGGGTGGAATGCTACACAGGTTATGGGATCTCTGTGTGATTGAAGCGTGTGTCGGGGAGGTGCTCGGGGTAGCCAGGCGACGGGGTCTTTGTTCTGTCGCGATGTAGGCGTCGCATTGTCGAGCTCTGACTGTAGGATATGATTTCGCGACTCGAGGTCCATAATCTGCGTGACCAGGGGGGTAAGCGACTGGTAAGGGGTGAAGTTATTTGGCGGTCGAACAAGGGGACGACGGGGATGCGCACCTTTTTCTGAAGTCGGACTACACTGGTCCATTTCTTTTCTAGTAGGCCCTCGTACTTCTTTGCCGTAGCCGGATCAAAGACATCTTCGCCTAGGTTCAGTTCTTCTCGGAGAGCGGCGGCGGTGTTGGGGAGGTTGGCGGCAGTTAGGTATGCGATGAGGGCTCGGTGTCTGTGGAAGTGGCGGACAACAACAAGTTAGCCATTGTCTCGACTTGAGTATAAGTAGCCACCTACAGCTCATCGGCCTGCCGAGAGGTCAATATTTGGGACATAGTGGGTTGCCAGCCAAGGAGGGCGGGTCAGCTAAAGGGGGGGGGGGGCGGCGTGTCTTGTGGCCGGGTAGTAGAATATGGTGTTTTTGGTTTGTCGTGGGGTCGGGATCGGTGTCGGTCTCGGTTCGTTCGCCAGGACTACTACTTGTCCGTGTCCGTGTCCGTGTCGTGGCCCACCTGCCGCGTCGCCCGAAGGGTAGGTACAGTAGTTGTTGTGTGTACGTTTGTTGACTTGTTTGCGGGGCGGGGGATTCTTGATCGCGAAGCCTCTAGTGTGACGGAATTGTTTGGCAGATCAGGACTTTATACTCCATCTCGGTGGAGGCCCGGTTCCTTTCGGTCAGGTAGCGGGATTGGGGATGGCAGAGAGCTTGCTGCTGGTCGGCACACGGGCACTCCAATGCTGCTACCTCTCTACTTGCTAAGTGTCTGGGCGCGGGAGGGAGGGAGGTCGACGGGCGGGGAGAGCTTCCTTCTCCTTGGTGTGCTTCAAGGTATGATAATATGCAACGTGAGTAGTAAGTGAGCCTGGTGAGGTAAGCGGCGGCGGCGTTGTTGTTGTGATGGTCGGGTTGCCGTGTTGCTGTGTTGTTGTTGACTTGTATGTGGTCCCTGGTTGCATGTGCCAGTTGTCCCGGCCTCTACTGTCTTTCTCTTCTTTGCTCTCCTCTCTTTGATCCCGGACCCAGATCCCAAATCCAAACCCAAACGGTGAGGAGTTCGCCTAAAAGTGGACCCCTTGTCCCTAAGTAGACTTAGTTGTCGGTTTCTCTAGCTCAAAGCTGAGGTGCCCTGCGTCTCTGCGTTGGTGGCCTTTTTGGTTGGTCTCTCTTTTCTCTCTTTGGGCTCTTGGAGAGAAAATGCTAGAGTCGAGTCTAGTCGAGGAAGATGGTGCTCTCGCTTGTGACTCGAGTAGTTCGCGACGAGACAGAAAGCAAATTGAGGGCAATCCGACGGATACTGGTATGGGATCGAAGTCTTGGTGTTTGCCAGTTTGGTGATCAATGAATGTTGTTCGAGATTATGTATGTTGTGGTTCAGTTCAATGCGATCCAATGGATGCGGCGCCAGGCACGGAAAATGCAACAAACAGAAACCGCAGCGACAAAACTGCCGACTGCTCGCCCACTGTAGCACTTTGCTTGGGTTCTCCTTCAGTGGGCGGATTGTCTTATTTTTGGCGGGGCAGAGAAGAAACAACGCATCAGCTTCATCAGGGTTGTCACAGGCTTGGCTGTCGTTGTCAGGGTTGGGCTGCCAGGGTTGCTAGGGGGCTTCTCAGGGTTGTCAGAGAAGATCAGGGGCAGGTACCGAGGACCCCTTCTTCGACAGCTGGCACATAGGCGCTGGCGGACTGTAACGGGCCAGTAGACGCAGATCGAGGAGGGGTCGATTGACATCACGTAGCGGTCAGTAGACGAGGCAGCCAGATGATTGGATGTACCAGCCACGTTATCCTCCTCAAGCCACAGGAGGCTGGTCAATAGTGCAAGGGTTATTGCTTGGGTCGGCATTGGACGTCCCTGGGGCCTGGGCGTTCACAAGGTGTCAGGGTTCAACGTGGGGAACAAGGGGAACACAAAGGAATGTAGAATAGAGTACGTGCAGGGGTCAAATCGATGTGGTAAGAAGTCTATGTGTTGTGTAGAGATCTGTGCGTAGTAACTGCTGTACTAGAAATCTGGGTTATTGTCTGAGCAATCGATCTACTAGATTATATAAGATAGGTTGCATTAGTGCCTTAGTAAACTCTTATTTTTAATATCTCTCCTAATTGTATTAGATAATGTTATTAGAAAGCTGGCAATAAAAGAAGGTATTTATACTTTCTTATTATTTTTAATATTGCTTTGATGATTATTTGGAAAGTGTTGCCTATTGTTAATTACTATTAATATAAAAGTTCCATAAGTATATCTTTTGATAATAATAGATTTTGTAGCTTAGTATTTAAAGCGTTAAGGTTTAACCTTATTAAATAGTGTTAATTATTTTTAAATTATATTTAAAACTATAATCAGTGGATTATTTTTTAAATATATACTTAAAAGCTACAAGTTCGAATCTGTTACGATGCTAATTAGGAAGGGCTTGAAGAAGATGTAATATTGTACGAAGGAAGCAAGATCAAAAGAGAGCAGCGAAAACTCTGCTCTTGGGCTATGTACATGAATGTAGGTAGAGACATGGCTGAAACGCTGGGATAACGGTGCCAATGTCATGGGGCTAGTGCCCGCGTGTGACGAACGGCAGTCTGATCTGCCTAAATGAGATAGCTGAAGGTAGTAACTATCAGAGTCGTTCGGTGAAGCCAAAGGGTTCACAACAAGTATACTCGTAATACTGGTCTCGGTGATAATAGTCTATTGACTACTGTTGAACTATCTGACAATCTGAGTTCTCCAATCGTCCCTTTATACCTCCTCGCCCTCTGCGAGATATCTATTTTGTGATGCTCTTCTGAGCCCATAAGTCTATCTGATAGTAGTGGCTCACTGATGGTGTTAGCTCATCTTGTGGCCCTGGCTCACGATGTGAGCCCTCATGGGGTGTGAGCCCTTTTGGTTCTGCGCCCTACTGGCTTCTATGATTGCACCGTTCTGTAGCTGTTGTATTTTAATAGCTTGGTTGGCCCGTGTAACTCGCTTAAGTTCATAACACCGCGGCTGAAATGCTTGGCAATCTTGCCAGGCAAGTGATCTACTCTCGCAGCAGGCAACATTGGCCTGTGCGCGCGCACGTCTCTTCTTTAGAACAGCCAGCCAAACTGCCCAGAGGGTGTCCTTTTCTCTCCTTCTCTCTTTGTAGAACCTTATCAATTCTTTTGGCCAGCATCTGTGTCAACTATGCTGTACCCCTTACAGCCGATGCGCCGAGGTGTTGTAGACATAACAAGTAGTGCTATGATAGAATCTTATTAAGATTATTCTTTTTATACTTTTTTTCTTTATAACAGAAATTAAAGAGAAGCTCTTTATATTATGAAAGTTCTTTCAATAGTTATATAAAAAGGTAGTTCTATACTTATAATAATATTTATTTCCTTTTTCATTATTATAATTACTATTATTCTTCTCACGGCATTGGCAGACCACTACATTACTAGGCTATGTTCCAAAAAGGATATAAGTAACCAAAGCTGGCAATTTAGTCGCTCAAGTGGTCTTATATAGTTATAATAGCAGTCGAGAGGCACAACTGCAAGGCTGCCATCACAATTTCTTCTAGTTTTCCTCATAGAGTTTTACAATTAATCAGTTCGCTTCCATTCGCAGTAGCAGTCTAACTAATTTTTTCTTAATTTCCCTAATGTTTTGAAGGTTTAATTAGTTTATAAAAATGTTGTACTTATTAGTAGATAACTATTTAATTAAGCAATTTACTACTATTGAAATTGTAGATACGTAATAGACGTTAAAAATACTTTGCTATTGTTCTTTATATGATTAGGGATTAAAAATATTAATATACTTAGTTTAGTTTAGGATTTGGCATTCTTTTTCGTAATGAGTTGGGTTGTTTATTCATTATTATAATTTATAGGCATAGTATCGATTTTGAGAATTATAATAAGTATATTAAGTAAGCGCTTCATTCATATACTTTTTTTTAGTACTTGAATAGGAATAATAATTCAACTCCGATTGTAGAGGTAGTAATAATATTTAATTTATTAGCCTATTACTTAATGATATTACTAAATAAGTATATTGCGAACTTTTTTACTGCTTTTTCCATTACTAGTATCGTTAGTGAAGAAAGTATTATTTAATATAGTGAATTTATAATTACTTTCTAATTGTAGTGCGTAGTTAGTACTATTGCGGACGAAGGCTTTTAATTATTCGCTAGTACAATAGTATTAAGTATTAGAGTTGGTAAAGAAATAAATCAGTCGAAATATTATAAAAGTAATATTAAGTTTGATAATGATTGTAAAATGAATAAATTTAAGAAAGAACTATTATTACTATTCAATTTAATACTATAATATTATTCTTTTATATATTACCAAATTTTACTATATTATCATAACAAGCTAGGGTGCATATGCTCAGACGGCCAAACCTCAAAAATATAGGACGTTGTTCTGCTTGCAAGGCAAAACTCGGAATGCACACTATATAGCCAATGTCAACCTGTGACACTACCTCCCCTTAAAGTGAAGTTATCTTTCGATAATCTTCAAGATAAGACCCCAGCCCCGGCCCCATTTCCGAGGGCGATAATGTCGCGGAGAATTTATCACAACGCGACGGCTTATATAGCACTACCTGAAAATGCAACTTCCCGCTAAGTTGGACATTTTCCAATGGGCTGATACGTGGTATTTTGGTACTCTTCGATTTGCATACATGGTCCTCAATTGTCATTGCATTCTTAGGAGCTGTGCTCGACTAAGTGCCGACAAGAGTATCCCAAAATCGCCCTCGACATTGCCACGGTCGGGAATCGAACCCACCGTTTAAGCAGAACATACTATGACAGGCTAGGATGCATATGCCCAGACGGCCAAACCTACAAAAGATAGGACGATATTCTACTTGCAAGGCAGAACTTGGAATGCACACTATATAGCCAATGTCAACCTGTGACATTAGGTTCGCTTAATTTCAATATTAGTTACGTACGATTATAAATTATAACTATCTGCTTTAGACGTAAATATTTTATACTAAAGTAATTAGTTTTCAATTTTCGTTAGTATAGTTATATTATTTAGTTGAAATTTAAGTTTAAAAACATTAGTATTATACTCGCTATTAATTATTGCAGCATACCATTCTTCTGCTCCGTTTACTATAATTAAAGATATAATTAATAAAATTCCTAATTATAAAATATTAGTACATACAGAGGTCAAATCAATATAATAAGAAGACTATATGTTGTGTAGAGATCTGCGCCCAGTAAATGCCGCATTGGAAATCTGGGCTATGGCCCGAGAAATCGACCCGCTAGATTACATAAGACAAGTTGCATTAGCACCCTTGTAAACCCTCATTTCTGACAAGGAACCTCTCCGCGCCTCTCTGTCGCTCCCCGTCCCGGCGTCCACTCATGCCTGGTCCGCCGCTTCTTGTCCCGCCAACCAGAGTCTGTCGCGAAACGGGAAGCACGAACAACAAATTACTTACCGTGGGCGTGGACTGACTCCCCGTCGCCGTCAATAATAATATTTCCCCAATACACGGCACACATCGTCGCCGCTGCACTCCAACCTCGACCACGGTTGGAATCTCTCCAAGTACTTCGCGGATACACTTCCCCCGCGGCACTTACACGCACACCAGGGCAGTCGAGCAGGGACACACGGCAACTTCCATCCTGTCCCTTCTTCGATCTTTATCGCCGACCTTGTCCTTGTTCACCACCGTGCCCACACTGCATGCAATCACAGGGCAGCGCGCCAGCAATCGAGAACCGACGACCGGATTCCCCGCTGCAACTTCATATTCTTACCTTACCTAACCTAGGACATCTTCCCTTCCTTTGCGCACCCGCGACACTCCATTGTTACCGGTCGCAGACAACAAACAAAACAGCTGCTTGACGCACTGGACCATTCATCCAAGTCGCAGCTTCTGATTGCTTCTCATTACCTGTTGCTGTCGATAGCTTCTTCTCTGTAGGTCCTCCCTATCTTTTCGTCTGACGTGTGAACATCATCGACCCCGAGAGGCCACCCACCACAGGCACCGTGACGGCAGACTATACCTCACTACTCCTCCCAATGCCCCTCTTGTTACCATTATGGTCGGCTCTAGGAAACCCCTTTCGCTTCAGAGACTAATCAAGCGAGTTTCCTCACTAGGTCGCCCACCCTCGTTCGACTCCAAGACTAGTACCTCTACCTCGTCTCCCGCCAGCCAAAGCACCTCGAGCCTTCCTTCATTCCCTGACCCGTCGAGACGATATCCCCGACTGTCTTCCGATCCCCGCTATCCATCGAACCCTGAGATATCACAGACTGAAAGCCCCACGACAACAAAACCAACACCCAAAACCGCAACCATGGGTGACGAAGAGGACTTCAGCTCCTTGCCCCTTACAGACCGGTGGGTACACAAGGTGCGTTTCAGCCCCAGACTTGTCCCTCTCGTTGCGCTTACAAGTCCCAGAATCCATGTTAACGTTGGATAGGTCTGGAAAGTACGCAAAGCAGCATACGAAGAGGCCGCTCAGGCATTCGAAAAGACCCCCGACGAATATGATCCCGCATTTCGACCCTTCGTCCAGGATCCCGGCTTGTGGAAGAGCGCTGTTGCGGACTCCAACGTCGCTGCGCAACAAGAGGGCATGGCTGCTCTTTGCGCATTCCTAAAGTTTGGCGGCCGTGAAGGCGCTGTTCGATCGAGACAACATACCATCACGTCCATTGTCGAAAAGGGTCTCCCGTCTACCAGACCTGCCATCAAGACCAACTCTCTCGAAGCGCTTCTCCTCTATATCGAACTCGACGTTCCTGGCCCCGTTATCGAAGAAATCCTTCCCGCCCTCTCCAACAAGGTCCCCAAGGTCGTCGCTGCTGCGCTCGCTGCGCTGACGGCCATTTTCCACAACTATGGCTGCAAGACGGCAGACCCCAAGCCCGTGCTCAAGTTCTTGCCCAAGGTCTTTGGCCACGCGGACAAGAATGTAAGAGCCGAGGCTACTAACCTCACCGTCGAGTTTTACAGATGGTTGCGCGACGCCATGAAACCCATGTTCTGGGGTGAACTTAAGCCGACTCAACAAAGCGATCTAGAAGCACAATTCGAAAAGGCCAAGGCCGAAGGCGCTCCCAAGCAAGAGCGTCTTCTTCGATCGCAGCAAGCTGCGCAGGCCGCCGCACCTGCAGGAGGCGGTGATGAAGATGAAGAAATGGCGGACGCACCCGAGGAAGAGGAGGTTGGAGAAATCGACGCATTCGATTTGGCCGAACCGCAGGATATCATGAGCAAAGTACCAAAAGATTTCTTCGACAATATCGCCTCGTCAAAGTGGAAGGAGAGAAAGGAGGCATGCGAGGGTCTTTACGCTGCTGTCAACGTTCCGAGGATCAAGGAAGGAGACTTTAACGAGATCACACGTTGCTTGGCAAAGTGTATGAAGGACGCCAATATTGCCGTCGTCACGCAGGCAGCACAGTGTATCGAGCTACTTGCAAAGGGTCTGCGAAGGGGCTTTGCCAAGTATCGCTCCACCGTCATGCAGCCTATCCTCGAGCGTCTCAAGGAAAAGAAACAGACAGTGGCAGATGCGTTGGGTGCTGCCCTCGATGCCGTTTTCCTGTCGACGGATCTAACGGAAAACATGGAGGATATCACAGAGTTCCTCAAAAATAAGAACCCTCAAGTCAAGGAAGGTACCATGAAGTTCCTCGTCAGGTGCCTGCGCACAACCAAGGACGTTCCCAGCAAACAAGAGATCACGAGCATGGTTGAGTCCGCGAAAAAGCTTCTTTCCGAAGGCAGCGAAGCTCTTCGTTCAGGTGGTGCTGAAATTTTGGGTACGATTATGAAGATCATTGGGGAAAGGGCAATGAATCCACATCTGGAAGGCTTGGACGACATCCGGAAGAACAAGATCAAGGAGTTCTATGAGGCTGCCGAGGTCAAGGCCAAGGATAAGCCAAAGCCGCCTCCGCCAGCAGCTCGGGCACCGCCCCCGGGTCCTGCAAAGAAGGGTCCCGTCAAGAAGGCCCCTCTCGGCGCCAAGAAGCCAGCAGGATTTGGAGCGGCGGCGCCTCCTGCCCAAGCAGCACCGGCTCCTGCCGCCGCCGCTCCCCCACGCATGGGTGGTTTGGGTAACAAACTTGGTGTACCAAAACCCGGCGGTGCTCCCGGCGGAGGTCTTGGTGGCGGTATCAAGGCCCCACAGAAGCGGTCGGCATTCGCTGCGCCACCATCTCCTCGACGTGCAGAGCCGGAGCCGGAACCGGAACCTATGGATCTTGATGACCCGCCTTCCCCCGAGGAGCAACGGCCAGCACCGTCACGCATGGGACTCGGACGTGGCGGTCTTCAGCCAGGGGGTCTTGCTGGGCGTTCACTCGCCAAGCCGGTGCCGATGGATTACACCCCTACTCCCCCAATGCCACCTCCACCTTCGGGCCTATCCCATATTGAGCGGGCTGAGCTTGAAGAGCTCCGCGATGCCAATGACCGTCTGCTGAAGCAACTCGAGGATGCTCGTCATGATCGGTCGAAACTCTTGTCTGAGATCCAAGAACTCAAGAACCAAAACGCTTCTTTGATTGAGGACCATACCAGGGACGTGCTCTCAATCAAAGCCAAGGAGACCCAGCTGGTCCGGGCCCGCAGCGATTTCGAGGCCGCTGAGCAGACAAACGACCGGTTGCGCCGTGAGCTCGACAGGCTTAAGCGGGCTTTGAGCCACACCGAGGATCAGCTACGCCACGCTAACCGTGCCCGGCCGGGCAGCCCCAGCTCGCCTCACATCGGTCTTGGAGTGATGAGCCCGACCCACGACGGCGGTATCTACAACGACAACGGCTACCAGCAACAGTCATCGAATAGGAATCGTATGAGCTTTGCCAGCAGCATGAGCGAAGAAAAGGAGAACGGCGATGGCATGATGTCGGGCGGCTTCCACCAGAAGGTGAGCCCGGATCCCAGGTACCACCAGGGAGGAAGCGCGGGAAGCAGCGGTCGCGGCACTCCAGCTGGCTTCCGCCAACCGGTGGAGGAGGCTAGGAGCTCCGAGTCGCTGGCATCCATGGGCTTTAACAGCTACGGAGCGGAGCGGTCCAGCAGTAGGACTGGTATGAGGACTGGCTCGAGCAGGCTGCAGGCTCCTTCGAGTGGTACGGCGGGTGGCATGGAGAGTTGGAAGAGGGCTGCGGAAGTGACGAGTCAGTTGAAGGCTCGGATAGAGCAGATGAAGGTATGTTGCTGGTCTCATCCATTTCCTTCGGTACGACGTTGATGCTAACTATACTGTTACACAGGCCAAGCAAGGTCTCAACCGACCATAATCGAACTGTCAGGTTTTCACATCTCGTCTCGACACGAGGGAGCACCTTGCCCATGTCCGAACCCTTAACAAATGCTATTATTGTTGAGTATGGTGTACACAATGTGATGTACAAATGGCGTGTGCGGAATGTGGCATAAGCCGGATCGGCAGACCAGCAGTGGCCGGGCCGGGTATAAAAAGGAGGAAAGATAAAGACGGCATTTGTATATTTTTGGAGAATGCATGCATACCGTACTCATGGCTGGCGTCGGAAAAGATTAAAGAAATCGGGATCACACTTCAACCCCTGTACCTCAATGTTCCTTGTCCCATGTTTTCTTTGGTCACTTTTCCCAGCTTTGATGAGATTCTTGGTGAGTAGTTGACCGTAAGGGGTGTTGTGCTGTGTGGTGCATGCTAAGCTAGATTGGAAAGAAAATATATAATACCCAGAGTTTAGGTAGGAACGGATTATGGATGGATGCGCTCGCATGGTATGCCGTAAATCGAGTTAAGGAAACGTCGAATGGATACCGACAGGTATTTGGGTGGTAATGATGGATAATCCATATCGGCGTGGTTTTTGTCTTATCTTATCCTTCTCCATGCGCTCGCTGGTCATTAGTTCTAGATCGCGAACATCGATTGACTCGAAATGTTTTCGATTTCCACCTTGGACAGATCGACCAAATCACCCAGTGAAATATTGTTGTTAAGTGAGCGGGGGATCAAATTAACACCCGCATTTTGTCTTTAGAAATACTTTGCCTATCTTACACAAGGCAGACAGACACACTTCTTTAGTAGACTTCCAATACCACTCACTCTCCCTGCTGTCCACCGGCCACCACCGATTTCACCGTAAAGAAAAACTCGTGTTGTGTCTCTGGGCTACTGAGGCCTTTTTGCTTCGGATCTGTTTTGCCGGGACCAGTCAGTCGCAAAACCGGCACAGCGCTGCCGAATACAACGAACTTGGTCACTGCCTTTCTCTTGAAGACTACCTAGAGGTAGTTTCTTAGTGGGTTAAGTTCGCCAATGATAGGTAAGGTAGGTAAGGTAGTAAGGTAGTAAGGTAGGTAAGGTAGGTAAGGTAGGTAAGGTAGAGGTAGGTAGGGGTAGGTAGAGGTAGGTAGAGGTAGGTAGAGGTAGGTAAGAATATTGCTCATCGAAGTCGATGACTCAATGACTCGATGATGGAAGGAACCTGAGAAGGAGAAAGGGAAATTTTGTTGAACTAATTTGAATTTGGGCTGGGAGTAATTAAGTGACCTGAGTAAGATCTGATCGACTTTGGTCTTCATCAAATGTGAAGAGTGTTGGAATCTTGTGCCCATTTCTCTTTCAATTCTTCAAAAAAAAATTGTGCTCAACCAGTCTACACTTTACGGTCCTAGCAGACATAGCATTAGACAAACATTGACATAAGTTTAAACGCCCATGCCACTATCTCTCACTAGAGTACTTTGTGTGTCGGGTACGCCCGGTACGTTATTATTACCATACCGCAAGGAAGTAGTGTACCTACACCACAAAAGTAAGGTTCGTTACAACGGAAAAACCTGCCTGTGCAGTCGTCCGTCCAAACTATGTGCAAGCCTCTGCGTGTGTCTTGTCTGCATGCGCTCTCGGTGCAGGTTGCAGACGGGTTGGACGTTGGACATGATTGCCTCGGCCCGTCGGTTTCCGGTTCCCGAACTCCCGGATTTTCGGAATCGGTTAACATACCGAACGAGATGCAACTCTCTCATAGTCTCATGGCTTAAGCGCAGCGCTCCAAACAAAAAGCTTATTTCGACCTTACTGTATCCATTCGTGAGGCTGTGCCTACTTGCCCAGAGTTGCCTACATGCCTAGAGAGGTAAGGTCTAGAATCGATGTTTGGGGGTCAAGTTGGGGGGGTGAAAGGCTTGGGGGGGAGGATCTTGGCCATCAGGCATTGGGTCTCATGACCAAACCTTTTTTTTAACTTTTCCCCTGCAGACGGGACTGCATGTTATCATGTTACGTGTGAGTTCATGCCACGCAGCGGGACGGGACGAGACAAACGTTTACTGATGTGACGGACGGGATCGACGGACCGGCCGTTTCGGTAGCTTCGGATCTAATGGGCGTTCGGACCTCGGGATGACGGATGCAGTGTAATGCAAATGCAAAGCTGTCAAATTTCGGCTGTCAAACTCTATTTTCAGAGGAGATCTTTTAAGCTTAAAAGTTTATTTGGACGGACAGGAACTTGGTCAGTGTCAGTCAATATGTGTCCATGTTGCTGGAGATATGTATGTAAGCTGAAGAAGATCTTTGATCCGCGCGCAATTGTGGCCCCCCTTCCCTCCTACACTACTTCTAAATAACTTGGAAAGTTGCACGAGAGCTGGTTATTTGTTTGAGATAGGATGTATGTGCCACTTGATATTTATGAATGGGTGGTGATGGTGATGGCGGATGCCGATCGTCGCCAAGTTATGTAACTTTGCGATCCCTTCGTGAGTAGTTTTCGAGATTTGGTGGTGGTGGCGTTGTGGTTCGTTCGCATGATATTGTTTGGGCCTGTTTCCTCTTCTTTCGCGTTGTATGTCACTTTAAAATGACCTAGGAATCGGGATCTTGTTCATTGTTTTTCTGTCGTCTGTTGCTTATCATCTCTCAAAACTTCCAAGTCGACGAATTGGGCACTCTCTCTTCGACAATTCGACTTGGACACTCCTCGATGATAGTGTTATCTTCGCCCCAAGCCGCATTGCAGTATTACCAACCAGTTCGTCGGGACTTGAACGTCCGTTTAGGCCTTTGGATGATGCACGTCTGTCCCTTGCCGACGCTTTTTTCATCACAGCAAGATGCAATGCATTTCGCATCTCGAAGTCTTGGCGCCTTTCACAAGCATCCCGTCAAAATTGTGCAAAACCACTACAGATCTGCAAATTTAAAGGGGAATTGGTTTCATTGCCGCATGAACAAAGGATATGCATGACGACTGCAATTTACCAATATCTTGTGCAGTTCGCAAAGAGAATGCCATCAGGTTCGGGGTTGGACCTTTGTCTGAACCGGAACGAACAGTCGTTCATCCAATGTCCAGAATCATCGTGGAGCTTCTCCAGACTTTGGCGAACCAATGCGTGCGATTCGTGCCGATTGGTGCTGTGAGCGGAATGGGGCGGTGCACCACGCGCATTCCCCAGATCCCACCAAAAAAATTCCGAAGATCACATGTGCCCCGGATTGAAAATTTTGCGGGGAGAGAGTGGGAGCGAGGGAAGGAAGGAGGAGTCCACTCTCTCCAGTCTCCATGGTGGACAGGACAGGGAAAGACCAACTGGCTGTCTGGCGCGGTTGTCGGTCGGGG